AATAAGTCAAATAGTAGAATTGTCACATTTTTCAAGCAAAAGTGCCCCATTTAATCACCATGGGAAAATATTTTATGACAGTTATTAATAAAAAGTTAGTTTTTAATTGGATATCTGTAATGATACCACATATGAACTTTGCAAATGCTAATTTTAGAACCTTAAACAGAAAGAGCTTATGGTTGGGAGTTGGAGAAATGCTTCAATTCCAATGCCAGCTTTCATACTACTTCACTCAGCTGTGTGTATTTGTATAAGTTAATCATTCTGGGCCTCGTTTTGCTCATCTGTAAAAGGATTTTTACTGATGAGAGATAAACTAAACATTACCTGGTACATAGCAGTTTCTTAATAAACAGATGCTGCATCTAAGTTTTATCAAATTATGCTTTAAAGCATATGTAAAAATGACTTCCAGTGTAATAATTCCTATTTTAGTACTCATAATTGATGTTCATTTAACTTACAATGCTTCAGAGTAACAAAGTTTAAAAATGCATATCCAATATATGTAGTTGTGCTTCTGGCTTTCAATAGCCCTCACTTTCTTCTGTTATGCATTTTTTTATACTTCCCAGCCTCCTTTCCAGTGCAAAATTCAGTCTTTTATACTTAGAATTATCACCTCCTTACACAGCTTACTACCACTGTGATAAAAAGCCAGAACTCACTCTCTAAGAGTCTTATTTTGGCCATCCTACTTCTTCATCACCCTCTCTCCCAGCCTGCAGCTCCTGTCAAACATCAAACGCCTGAAACTTGCTTATTTACATGAGAACAACTATCTCAGGTAGATGTCATGTCTCTCAGTCCAGCCTCTCTTTCCTGCCCAAGTCAGCTCCAGCTTCCACGCATCTCTCATGCTGCTGCATAAGTGGGAAATACTAGGCAGGAAGTAGACCTGTAGTTGAAATTTCTTACCAAGGATCACATGCACTTGTGGATCACAGTCAAAACAGGCTTCTGCCTTTGATTTGATACTGGTAGAAAGAAAGTCTCTCCTCCACTATTATAGATATCTTCTGAGTTCTGAAACTCTGGAATGTAAAGATTAAAGACTACTCAAATAGCTGTGCAGGCTTGTGTAGAGTAGTGGTCCTGGGAAAGTGATGCATAAGTCAGCTGTCTCATTCTTCAGGAATATTGATATCTTTTGCCTCAGACACCTGTCAGCAGTCTAACTCACCCATAGGGTTGCTAAGGCCCTAGTAAGACAGTAATTGGTAGGTAGCATAATCCATGATAATTCCTACCCCAGTCATCTCTAATATATGTCTTACCCAGCTTCAACTTTTATTTTTATTGTTATTTTTGTGGGGTATTGAACCTAGGGTCTTGCTTAACTTGTAAATGTAAAAATACCTTACATATAGAGGAAAGGGAAATTATTTCTAAATAACAACAAAAGATAATACCCTTTCATTAATCACTCCCCCAACACCTTGCTGGGGAGCAAACCCAGGGCTTTGAACTACATATGTACTAGGCAAGCACTGTACCACTGAGATACATTCCAAGCCCCATTAATAATTCTTGCCAGAGCCTAGTTTTACTACAGTGATTACAAAATGATAATTTTTTCAACCCTGGGATTTGTGCCATATTTGCTATTCAGCACTATGATAAGCAAAAGTTCTTTTATCCCCCAGTTTATTTATTTACCCATCTGTCTGCCTTTGAGCACTATGCCTTTTGCATTCTTGATTTTTTTGTTTTTTAGTGGTACGTATAATTCTTAGCATTTTACTTTCAGGTTAAATTTCACCTTAAATTTATCATGGTTGTTGAGAGTTTTTTAAACTTTCACTTTAAATTTATCATGGTTGTTGAAAGAATCTTTTATGGGATATGTATTGATATTTATCATATTAAAACTCAAAATGCAAATTATACAGTATTTATTAGTTTTAAAAGAACATTAATAAATCAGTTGCATATTAATATAAAATATGTTTAGTAGGACCTTGGTATTCATGGAAACTTTGTTTCAAGACACTTTTCAGAGACCAAAATTTGCAAATCCGTAAGTCCCTTATATAAAATAGCATTATATTTGCATATGACCCACATACAGCCTACCACATACTTTAAATCATCTAAATTACTTATAATACCTAATAGAATGTAAATACTACGTAAATTGTTGTTATACTGTGTTCTTTAGGGAATAATGACACGAAAAAATGTGTACATGTTCAATACAGTTGCAATTTTTTGAATGTTTTAAAAAATAAAAACCTAAGAATTTTATATTTTGAATATTTAGTTGGTTCCATCTGTGGTTATGGAACCTACAGATACAGGGAGGGCCAAGAGTATTTTTGATCAGAAATAACTATGTTTTTCTAAAACAAAAGAAGAGAAAAGATTACCATTATTTTATCTTTTAAAATGTATATAATATCTGGTTTAATATTTATTCATTTTATAATTATTTTTCCCACCACCATTTGTTGAAGAGGGTGTCTTTCCTCCAGTATATGTCTTTTGCCTCTGTGTGAAAGATCAAATGACTAGGTGTGCCTCCAGTTGTTTCTTTTTTTTTTTTTAGTTTTACAGTTTACTTTATTTCTAGTTCATACTAAGAAATTACCGACCTGACACTTGTTCTTTGGTTCTTTTTTTCTTTAAATACCTTCTGATTGGTAATGATTACCAGTTTTATACCTTCAATTTCCCTCAAATTTGATGTGTCCAACAGACCTGTTTTCCTCTCTCCACAAAACCCACCATACCCCATAGTCTTCTCTATCTCAGTGAACCAGTTCTATTTTGATCAGCTGGACCCAAACCTTCTCAGTCATCCACAGCCTCTCCTTCCCCAACACCTCATATTCAGTCTGATTACAGACGTTGCAAGATTTGCATCAACAGATACTGGATTTTGATAGCACTCTCTCCTTTTGCTGCTTCCCCTTGATCCGTGTGCTTCTGCCTTCTCTCCAGGGTCCAGTTGTTTCTGTATCCTCTATTCTTTCCCACTAATCTGTGTGTAAGTCTGCATGTGTGCACATCTGTATGTGTTTACTAGAACTATGCTGTTTTTATCAGTGTAGTTTGTGATATAACTTGAAATTCAGGACTACAATGCTTCCTGCTTTGATTTTGTTTGCAGGATTGCTTTTGCTATTCTGGGTCTCTTCTGGTTCCATATAAATTTTAGGATTGTTTTATCTAGTTTGATAAGGAATGTTGTTGGTATTTTGATTGGGATTGTATTATGTTTTGGTAATATGTCCATTTTGACAATATTGGTTTCACCTATCCATGAACAGGGAGTATCTTTCTATTTTCTGATGTCTTCTATCTTCTTTCTCAGAATACTGTAGTTTTTATTATAGAGGTTATTACAGTTTATATCTGGGTGGCCCCCTAGAGCCTCAGGTATTTATATAGCAAAGCTTTTGGAAGATGATTGGATTATGGGGGCTTGTTGCTGATTCTGCATTAGGTGGAAAGATCTGATTAGAAACACTACGTCACTGAGGCTGTGTCGTGGAAGGGTTTGACTTCACCCTCAGCTCCTCCCTTCTCTCTCTCTGCTTCCTGTCCACCATGTGTTGAACAGATCTCCTCCACTCAACCCTACTGCCATGCCATCTTTCCCTGGAGCTGCTGACTATGCACTAAAATGTGAGCCACAATAAACCTCTTCTTCCTTAAGTTGTGAGTATTGGGTATTTTGTCCCAGCAAGGAGGAAAGTGACTAAGATAGAGAGGTGTTTCACTTCCTTAGTTAGTTTAATCCTAAGTATTTAATTTTTCCTGAGGCTATTGTAAATGGTAGTATTTTCCTTATTTCTTTCTCAATGAGTTCATTATTAGTATACAGGAATGCTATTGATTTTATATGCTGGTTTTTTATTCTGCTACATTGATGAATTTGTTTATAACTTCTGGATTTGGTGAAATTTTTTGGATCTTCCATGTAAAATATCATGTTGTTTGTGAATAAAGATAGCTTTGCTTCTTTCTTTTTTATACATATATCTTGTATTTCTTTTTCTTACCTAATTGCTGTGGCTAAAGTTTGGAGCACTATCGTGAACAAGAATGGTGATAGTGGACATCCTTATTTTATTCCTGATTCCTTTATTAAAGGATTTAATTTTTCCACTGTTTAATGCATTGTTTGGCAGTAGATTTATCATAAGTTGGTTTTATCACATTGAGATGAGGCCCTTCTATATCTATTTTCTTCAGGGTTTTTATTATGAGTGGATTTTGGATTTTGACAGAAGCTTTTTCTGTGTCTATTGAGATGACCTAGTGATTTTTTTCCTTGCTTCTGTCTGTGTGATGTGTTACATTTATTAACTTGTGGATGTTGAACCATCTTTACATCCCTGGGATAGAGCCGACTTGTTCATGATGTATGATCTTTTTGATGATTTGTTGCATTCTGTTTGCCAGTATGTTGCTGAGGTTTTATGTCTGTGTCCACTAAAGAGTTTGGCCTGTAATTCTCTTTTTTAGTTGGGTTCTTGTCTGGTTTTGCAGTCAGGGTAATGCTAGCATCCTGGAACGTTTGGAAGTCCTCCTGCCCTTTCAATTTTTGTTGGGAGCAGCTGGGGCTGGAAATTGGTCATGTGTGTGAGAGCAGGACAGAGCCAGAGTGCCTCAAGCAGTCAAGCTACATCAGTCTTGAGAAAAACCATCCTGCCTGGACAATTTCAATTGTTAGTTACTAGGCAACATTGCCTCTTATGATACTAAGTTTTCAAGGGTATAAATAAATGCCCCTACTATTATTGTTCAGTCCTGTAGCCCTTTGAGGTAGAGGCTACTGCACCTGACCCCATGTTTTGTCTCTTGTCTTTATTTTCCTCAGACCCACCACTGTTCCTCCCGCAGTACACTGAGAGACCAAGGAGTTCCCTACAAATTTTAGTAAAGTGTTTGAGAAGTGTTGGCATTATAGAACTCAGTGGTCAATCCATCAAGGCAGAGGAATAATATGTCAGTAAGAAGAGAGTGAGAGAAGAGAAATATCAATGAATGGAATAGATAAGACACTAGATAGGACTCTGAATTATTTTTATAGCTTGAGTAATGGGATAGTGTCGAGGTAGTGTGAGAGAGATTTTATTGGAGCAAGAGGAGGGATATAGGGGGAGAAAAGTAAAATTACAGATTGAGGAAAGTTGTATGTCAGAACCTGTTAATTGGTTGGTAATTTATATTTGGATCCTGTATGCACAGTTCTGATGAGAGTTACCCTGACATGCCCATGAAAAATACTGTTTAGTTTCAAACACTGGTTAATTCTTACTCTCCTTTGCATGTAAAGTAAGATAGTCATTTCATATGCCAAATGAAAGGAGGAAAAGAAGGGAGGGAAAATAAGGGAATGAGAAAGAGAGGAAGAGAGAAGAAAAAAAAGGGAAAGGGGAAAAGAAAAGAGAAGGGGAAGGAAAAAATAAAAGCTTGTCTCTGTGATTTGTTTAAATGCCTGCCTGTGAGCAAGGTGGCTCTCTGGGTCTGCTGGGCTGTGCATGTGGCTAACTGTAACTTTTCTCTCTGTCCTGCAACCTACCACTGGAGTTACAGTGGGGAGGGAGAGTATGGTATAATTGGCCTAACACCTGATTCTCCACAGGCCAAATCTTAGGGTTGCCTCTGTGTTTTTCCTCTAGGAGCCTTCTGCTTAGTGCATCCCTGAATGCCCTCTAACCCAGGTGCCACTGTCTGTCTCTCAGCCCACAATCTTTTTTTGATCCCTTTTCCCGAAGCATCACTGTAATTCATGAACTTGGTAAAACCTCAGAGCTGCCTTCTTTCAGCAGTTCCTGGCAGAGAATGTTGGGTTTTTGTTTGTTTTTGTTTTTGTTTTTTGTGGGTGCCTGCCAGCAGCCATGGAAAACATACAGGATGTTTCATAAGCACAAGGCTCCCAGTAAATGGGGAAAGAATAGCCCAGTAATTATTTATGAGTAGGTCTGGCCTCTTTTTTTCACAGAATCTTGCCACTCCCAGACACTGCTTACTTGTGAGGCCCCATGCTGCAGTTTACTTATTACTCAGATTCTCATCCCTAATTGTAGTGGCATAGTTGCTTTCAGATTCCCAAGGGCCTGCCAATATCCTCTCATACTCCACTCTTTGGCTTTTCCTTTCTCTGATGCCATGGTTTGCAAGTACAGTATCCCACTGGCTGTGTTCCTCTGCCTGGTGGAGAGGGTAGAGTGATTGGGAGCTTAGTCTAATTTAGTTATTTTACCATTATGAAAGGATATACATTATCAAAAAAGAAGATATTGCTTGTAATGCTTACTATGTCATAGGTTCATTTAAAAATGCATTTTCTGTTATAGGACAAACTATTCGAGAGAAAAGGATTATAGAAGCAGCAAAGAGAAATGAAACTGACTATGAAGTAGGTGATATCCCAACAGAATGGGAAGGTAAGTTTCTGATTTCACTAGAATGTTCTAGAAGGCATATTGTTTAATGATGTACAAAATTTGTGAATGTTTATAATGACATACTTCTCTTGCAAAGCACAGTATGAATACATCAGTCTGTCTTAACATTTAACTTTGCTGAAGTTTGTGAAGATGACAAATTTTATTAAGGGAACTCGTGGCTTGTATCTAGATGTCTCATGTAGTCATAGGTGGAGCTTTTCAGAGGTGCCTGGATCTAAAGTGCATATTGCTGGGATTCAGGATGTGATGCTAGGATTGATTTGTGGTGTGACACTAAGATTAAGTGTGCCTAGCCTTGGTATAAATGCTATCTGCTCCAAGGGCAGGTAGCCTGGATAAAATATAAGGGACAGAAAGAGGGCTATTAGGGTTACTACTTGTTGCTTGCTGCTTGGTTGCTCTTGCTGGCTTCTGCTTGCCATGAGCTGTTTCTTCTCTGCTGTGCTACGCTGCCATGCCAGCCTGCCTTGGAGCCAGCAGATTATGGGCTGCAACCTCTACAAACTATAAGCCAAAATAAACTTTCCCTTATTTAACTTCGGATATTGGGTATTTTGTCTCAGCCATGAGAAGAGTAACTAGAACAAGAACACAAGTACAACAAAAAAAGAACTCAAAGCATTTAGCAAAGCTGGGACTACAGTGAAGCAAGGAAACCTCTTAGGATGCACAATGTAAGGAGGTCCCCATTCTCCTGGACTGACCCTGCACTTACACAGCTCCAGGGCTTGGATTAGGTCTCCGGCACTGAGTACTGCCAACACATCCTTGAGAAACTGACACACTTTTCAGTCTTAGTTTTCCTTTTTATAAATTTTGGAGAATAGTTGCTTACCTATCATTTAGAATATTTGTTCAACTCAGAATGAGTCTATTAGTTGACTTCCTGTTTAGACAAGGATGGATAGTTGATCCCGATCTTAAGCTTTTGAAATTAAGATAAAAGATCTTTGTCTCTCTTTGTGGCTGGAACAGTAACATGTATACTTGTTAGTCTGTGAGTATCCATCTTTAATTCATCATCAAAATTTCTTTTAGAAAAAGCTGATCTACAGAGAAGAAAAATGAAAGCAGTTTGAAAATTAGAGTATATATATAGAGATAGAATATTTCCTAGATTTCCAGCAGCATTCCAGTTTCCAATTCAATTTCTTTTTTTTTTTTTCGTTACTTGGAGTTGAACTCAGGACCTTGCACTTGCCAGGCAGGTGCTGTGCCACTGAACTATATCCCCAGCCCCCAGTTCAGTTTCTTTCTGAATGAAATTCACTTGCAGGTCTGAGTTCTAAGTAGCACCTCACATCCTTTTTATAAATTTCCCTTTTTTGTTTATCCTTTCTTAGCATAGTACCTAGTAAGTAAGGTACATGATAAGTTCTCAAATAACTTGTTGAACAAATGAAATGTAGCTTGAGTTTGCCTTTGTTATCTGCATCTAAGAGAACCTTAACAGATGTAGCAACACATATTTTAAGTATCACTGAGTGCTTACCAAGCATTTACCTGAATGCCAGGTTTTATGCCATTGCTTTACAGTCATTATTGAGTTTAATCATTGCAACAGTCCTCTATGATAAACACCATAGTCATACACATTTAATTGATAGAGCATCTAAGGTTCAGAAAGGTTAGATAAGTTTCTGGGTTATACAGCTTCATACATGTAGATCCCTTGATTCTTGATGAGCATAACGTGGTATCTTACATACAATAGCTATTGGCATTATGTTAATGTATACATAAGCATGTGAGTGAAAATATCTTTTCCATTTTTGCTTGTTAGCTATGAAAATACTAGAACTAAGAAAAAGGAGCATAAATATCATATATAACAGAAAGTTTTTTCTAAGAAATGCAAAATATAAATTGGCAACTCCTCGGAGGAATAATTGAGCTTTATTTTAACAGACTTTCCAGTGTCATAAGCTACAATTGCAATTTTCAAATAATGCTTGCGCCTTCTTATAATGAGCCTATTTTGTCATTTTTCCTATAATAATATAGAACTAAAAATGTTTATAGAAATAAATTAAGTTATAAATAAACAAATAGGTAATGACTCATTTTTTAGCCCTTGAAACATTCAGAGAATTAGAATGAAGTTTTAATGCTTCTTATAAGTCTGTCCTGATCTAGTAATTCAGCATAACTATCCCATGGGGCATATTCTTAAGTATATCAACCAAACACTGAAATGAAAAAAATCTAACACTGGTACACATCAATTAAATATAAAAGTAAGAATTTTATGAAAAAGTAAATTAAAATTAAACACATACAACACTATAAACAGGGAAGGAAAGACAAACTTTTAAAGTAAATGATGTCAGCACCAAATGAATCTAAAGTATTTTCTGGTCCAGATAAATATAGATTGTCATTTGTCAATTATTAATAGCACAAATAGACAAAAAATCAGCAAAGAAATAATGGAACTGAACCAAACCTGTGAACAAATGGACTTAATAGATGTTTTCAGACTGTTCAACCCAACATCATCAGAATACATATTATTCTCAGCTGCACATGGAAAGTTCTCTAAAATAGACCATATACTAGCCCACAGAACATGCATAATTAAAAGCAAAGGAATTGAAATAATCCCATGTATATTATCTGACCACAGCACAATGAAATTAGAAATTAATGGTGAAAGAAACTGCAAAAACTCCACAAACACATGGAAATTAAGTAATACCCTCCTAAACAACTAATGGGTTACAGGTGATAGACAACCTTATCAAAAAAGGAAAGAAAAGACTCATATTCATGCATTGAGTAATGATAAGGGTGAAGTCACTACAGATCTTGTAGAAATTCAGAAGATCATTAATATCTACTTTGAAAATCTTTACTCTCATAGGATGGAAAACACAGAAGAAATGGACAGATTTCTAGATATGTATGAATTACCAAAGCTGAATCAAGAAGGTATAAAAATTCTCAATAACCCAATATCAGTTAATGAGATTGAAAAGATAATTAAAAATTTACCAACAGAGAAAAGCCTGGGTCCTGGTGCATTCACTGCTGAATTCTACAAAAAATTTAAGGAAGATTTCATACCAATACTCTTCAAACTCTTTAATGAAATTGAAAGGGAAGCAATACTCCCATGTTCATTCCTGGAAACAATTATTACCCTGATACCAAAACCAGAGAAGGATCCAACCAAAAAGAGAACTACAGGCCAATCTCCCTAATGAACATAGAAGCAACAATCCTCAATAAGATACTAGCAAACAGAATTCAGCAAATCATCAAGAAGATTAGACACCATGACCAGGTGGGATTTATCCCAGGAATGCAGGGATGGTTCAACATACACAAATCAATAAGTATAATATACCATATCAACAGAGCCATAGACACAAATCACATGATCATCTCAATAGATGCAGAAAAACTTTTGATAAAGTCCAGCACTCATTCATGATAAAAACACTACAGAAAACTGGAACAGATGGTCTTTATCTCAATCTGATAAAAGCCATCTATGACAAACCAATGGCCAACATCATACTAAATGGACAAAAACTGAATGCTTTCCACTCTAAAATCAGGAACAAGACAAAGATGTCCACTGTCACCACTCCTATTCAATATAGTTCTGGAAACATTACCCAGAACAATTGGACCACAGAGAAGTAAAAGAAGTAAGGTTAGGAAAGGAAGAAGTGAAATTATCATTATTCACAGATGGCATGATACTTTACATAGATGACGCCAAAAACTCTACCAAAAGACTCCTAGTAACCAAATTCAGTTGCATGGCTGGATACAGAGTCAGTACTCAAAAATCAATAGCATTCTTGTACACGAACAACAAACTCATTGAAAGAGAAATTAGGGAAACCATTCCCTTCACAATAGCATCCAAAAAATGAAATACTTAGGAATCAATCTAACAAAGGAAGTAAAGGATGTATATATTGAAAATTACAGTACTCTGGAAAAGGAGGACATCAGAAAATGGAAAAATATTCCTTGCTTATGGATAGGAAAAGGCAACATTATGACTGGCCATACTCCCAAAATTGTTACACAGGTTTAATGCAATCTTGATCAAAATACCATTAGCATACCTCATAGAATTAGAGAAAACCATCCTAAAATTCATTTGGAACCAGAAGAGACATAGAAAAACAAAGGTGCTCCTGAGCAGCAAACGCAAGGCAGATGGCATCACAATTCCTAACTTGAAATTATACTACAAAGCTCCTGTGATAAAACAGCATGGTACTGGCAAAAAAAAAAAAAACCAGACCTGAGGACAGTGGAACAGATTACAAGATGCAGACACAACTACAAACACAGTTGGCCACCTTATCTTTGACTAAGGGGCCAAACATGTTCACTGGAAGAAAGATAGCCTCTGTCATAAATGGTGTTGGAAAAACTGGCTCTCTACATGCCGAAGACTAAAACTAGACCCATGTCTATCACCATGACTAAACTAAAGTCAAAACTGGATCAAAGATCTAAATATTAAAACAGAAGCACTAATTCTATTAGAAGAGAAAGTAGGTAGACATCTTGAAGATATAGGGATAGGCAGAGAGTTCATGAACAAAACACAAACTGCATGGGAAACACATCAAAGAATCAACACTGCGATCTCATCCTATTTAAAAGCTTTTGTACATCAAAAGAAATTACCAGTAATGTCATGGTTTGTGTCTAGATGTCCCCCCAAAGCCTCATGCAGTCATGGGGTGGGCTTCTAGAGTTTATGATTGATTCATGGTCCAATGCTAGGATTATGGGTATGAGTGCTACACTTGCCCTGGGGTGGGTAGTTTGCATACAATATAAGGGACAGAAAGAGGCTTGCTTGCTGCTCCCACATTTTGCTCTTGCTGCTTTTGCTGTTTTCCACTGCCATGCACAGCTGCCGTGTGCCATGTGCCACTCTGCCTTGGAGCCAGCCAAGTATGGACTGAAACCTTCACAAACTGTAAGCTAAATAAACCTTT